TTACTTTTTAATTGTATTACTACTTATAAAGCTTCTTAAGAGAAGTAAAGATAAGAAAAAACTAGGGAATATTAAACTAAATAACTATAAATTAAAAGTATTTTAGGATCTTATTAATATCTTTTTAACTATATCTCTTCTATAATACTTTAATCTAGAGAGACTTATTTAGTTTAAAACTAATATTTTAGATTTTAGAATAGATAGAATCTTTTTATAATTAGATAATTAAAAAATATAGTATTTTATTATTTTCTGGTTAAAGAAATTCTTATCTATAGAATAGAACTATATAATATTAGATTAAGAGCTATTTATAATTATTTACTTATTTAAATACTAGTATTAATATCTTAAAGAAAACTAATATTAGATTAAGATTCTAATAGATTACTATAATCTAAAGTTATTTATAGATTAATCTAAGATTAATAAAAGATAAATATATTAGTATCTTTCTCTTACTTTATTTAACTTTATAATATATTATTACTTAAAAAAGACTAATCCTATAGATAGATTATTCTATATTCTAAGAGAAAAGAAGTCTTTATCTATAAAGAAGATATTAAGACTAATTTATAAGAGAATTATAGTTAAATTATTTATAAAAATATAGTAGTTTATTACTAATATAATATTATTTAGAGAGGAAAGTAGAGAGAAGTAGGGATTAATAATTATAATTATATTAATTTATAAAAATCTATTATTATCTTTTTTCCTAACTATAAGTAACTTAGTTAATAACCTAGAGTTAAAGCTAAACTAGATTTAAAATAATATTATTATTTTTATAGATTAGAAGGATCTAGAGAAGGCTATAAATAAGTCTAATAAAGCTAATTATTTAGATCTAGAGAATAATAAAGAAGTTTTTCTAAGTTAGGATTATAATATAACTAAGTTTTTCTTAAGTTAAGACTATAATATAATATATTATAAGGTTTTAAATTACTTTTAATTTATATTTTTTTAAATAGTAGCTACTATAATTATAAATAAAGATCTATTTATAGATAAATCTCTAAAAGAACTAAAATTATTAATTAAAGAACTCTAAGATAAGAATAAGATAGTCTAGGAAAAAATTAATATAACTTAGAAAGATATTCTATAAAGAAAGTATTAAAATATTAACTTTAAGAAACTTTTATATTATAAAGAATATCTTTATATCCCTATTATTAAGAATCTAAAGTAAAAACTAATTAAACTTTATTATAATAAGTAACTTATAGAATATTTTAGAAGAATATATATAGAAGAACTTTTAAAAAGGAAATTCTATTAGAAATATCTATTAAAAGATATATAAGAATATATTAAAATATATCTAATATATTAAGAAATTAAAATATCTAAATATTATTTCTATAGAGAACTCTAATCTCTTTTTATATCTTATAGACTATTTATAGAACTAAATATAGACTTTATTATAGGATTTTTAATTATAATCTTTAAAAGAAGGAAATATAATATAATCTTAGTAATTATTTATTAACTTATAAAATTCTTTTAATTCTTTTTTATATTAATAATAATATCTATAAAAGATCTTACTAAACTCTTTTTTAATTAAATTAAACTTAAATATAAAAACCTAGAAGAGATTATCTTTAATTAAAAGCTTATTTTTATAAATAAGTTTTAATTATAACTTTATTATTATTTTAAGATTAAATTATAGTTCTTTATTATATTTTATTCCTAAACTAATAAATAAATAAAAAGACTTAATTAAGTTTTAGAAGATTATCTTAGATATTTTATTAATAAAGAATAATTAAACTAGATCTAATTTTTTAAGATAATATAATTTATATATAATAATACTATTAATATATTAATTAATAAGATCCCTTTTTATATATTACTTAGATATAATCCTAATTTCTAAATTTAAATTCCTAATAAAATACTTAAGAAAAAGATCTCTAATACTAAAGAATAAATAAATTACTTTTAGAATATCTATAAAGAGACTATAAAGAAGCTTTAAATTATATAAAAAATATAATAAAGATCCTATAATAAAAATTATAAGCTAAAGAACTTTAAAATAGGAATTTTTATATCTCTTTTAATAAAGAATCTCTACTTTAAAGCTAAAAAAAAGAAGCTATCCTCTTATTAAATTAAGTCTTTCTATATCCTTATAAAAATTAGTATCTAGGTTTATTATATTATATTACTAGAAAAATACTTAAGATTATATAATATCTTCTCTATCTCTCTTCTTAAACTATAGAATAGCTAAAATAATAATAACTTATAAATACTAATACTAGAACTTAAAAATAAAGAAAAATAAGAAATTAAAGAGATTTAAAATAAAAAAGTTTTTAATAAAATACTATATTACTATATAAAATAAATAAAATAGTCCTTAGAATATAATTAATAAGAACTAGTAGAATATTTAAAAAATATAAAAAATATAATAGCTTTATTTAAGAAAAACTAAGCTTATAAAATAATATCTTAATAATACTAAAAACCTTCTGAAACCCTTTTAAATTACTTTTAAATTAATATTAGATAAAGAAAAGCTATATTAGATAAGACTATTTAGTTAAAAAAGGGAAGGATAAGTAAGATAAAAATAATAAATTACTATAGAATTTTATACTAAACTATAAGTATCTTAATATTAATAATTATTACTATTATAACTAGAGTTAAAATAACCCTAATTAGAGTTATATTATATTAATATCCTACTATAACCTCTATAAAAAAGGATTAAATACTACTTTATTAGAGAGTAAAACTAATATTATTAATCTATAAATATAAAAGATTATTAGAATAGTAAGAAGATTAAGTAAAAGATAAACTAATCTTAATATTTAACTCCTTCTATTATTTAATAATAAATATAGTATATACCCCTATAGCTTAGTCTATATTCTATAAATTAAAATAGAGCTTATAACTAGAAAGATAAATAAAGATTATCTTTTAAAAAGATATTAGGAGATAAGTAGATCCTTTTATAGCTATAGTCTTATTTTCTTTACTTTAGATAAGTATAATACTACTAATAATTACTATAGTAGTACTATTATTTTAAACTTTATATATCTAGTTAAGAATTAACTAAAGCTAATATAAATTATTATAAATTCTATAAGATATCTAAAATAAATTAGTACTAAATTAAATATAACTTACAGAAGAACCTTATCTAAAAGTAATTTTTACTATATTTTTTATATAAAGTATAAATAATTAAGTTTATATAATCCTAGTTATAATAAATCTTAAGAATAGTATCCTTAGGAGAATAAAGAGCTATTTTAGTAATATATTTGATATAAAATATAAAAGAAGGGTAAATAATTTAATTATAAAGAGAATATAAGCTAGTAGAAGTACTAGTAATACTTTTATTACTTTTATTAATCCTATTATCTCTATTATTATTACTATTATCTCTATCTCTAGCCTAATCTTTACCTCTAGTTATATAATAACTACTATAATAAGAAGGATTACTGAAAATACTAGAAGTAGTAGTCTTAGATATATTAAAATAAAATAAAATAAAAATAGAGAGTATAAAGATAAAGAGTCGAGAATTAAAAGCTAAGAAAAGAGAAAAGATAAGAGTTAAAAAGATAAGAGAGAAGCTCTTATCTTAAAGATATTAAAGAACTTATATTACTTTATTTATATCTATATATAAAAATATCTAAAATAATATTAGTCCTAGAATCTTTATTTAATATAATATTACTAGATATAAATTACCTAATTAAATATAAGTTATATAGATAATTAAGTCAACTATTATTAAAAAGAAAGGATAAATTATTATAGGATTCCTGAATCCCTTTAGGTACGATTCGGGTATAATTTATAGTTACTCTATAGGTAAATCTACTATAATATACCTATTAATATATAACTACCCTAAGCCCTAGTAAGCTCTAGTAATATTAAAACGTACGAACAATAGCTACGATTCTTGTCCTGCAAGAATCAGTTCTATATATCAACTATTCTATTTGATCTCTACCATCTGATATCCTTGCCTAGTCACAGGTCTCTAGCCTGACAACTTAGTAACCATTACACGTTGTATAAGTCTAGAATATAAATCTATTAGACTTGTAAAGATTAATTCTATTAGACCCTAACCCACTTTTATTTCCCTATACTTAAGGAATTTACACTAAATCTATTGGTGTCTAATGGAATTACCCCTATGGGTTAGAAGTACTACCAAAAGCTTCGATGAATGTTCCTTATATGAATTGCTAATATAAGCTCACTGCCTTCGTGTTCGCTATGGTGTTAAGAGGATGTGCATCCGTTAGTTACTGAGGTACATATGGAGTTGAACAGCCTAAAATGCTCCGTATTTAGTAACTTTTGCGCGAGGAATCTACTGTAATGCCCTGCTCCAATCCCCACATCGGTTCGGGTAAAATGAATCTACTTCTGGGATCCCGATTCCGAACGTCCCAATGGCTATGTCATTGCCGTTGTCGTGTGCTTGATTCTTTACCCAGGCTTGGCTGGGCTTGTTTTACGGTTTCTGGGACTCTGACTCTGTTGGCTGCACCTATAATGTAAGGGAGTAGATGACGTAATGGATGCCAACTGCTTTGTTCTTGTGAGATCATTGAAGTTGTGTTTTGGTTGTGCGTTTGCATAAAATGGATCTGAGATTGGATATGGTGTTTCGTACTTTGCTCTTGCTGATACTTCGCGAATTTTGTTAAGCTGCTTCTCTTCTCGGCTTTGTCGGCATCGTATATCAACCAGTTGACTTGAAGGAACTGAGTCTTTTACTATCTAAGTTATTTACAGAGATACATGGTTTAAAAATAAAAAATGAATGTGCTATAACTACATAATCTACAGCAGGCAGCACATTTATGCTGCAGACTCAAAAGTTTCAAGATTCTCACTCTATATTCTAATATGTCATCTGACGTCTCATTCACTCAGTCAAAATCTAATGGACTCCGTAAATCACATTCTACTCAATCATCTCGAGCAAACAACGCTAATATCTCCTCCTTCTCATGTGTAGCAGCAATATCCAACGCCGTAAGTCCGCTCTTATTCTCCGTCCAAGGACTAAGCCCCAGATCAACAAAGATCTGGAACAGGTTCGCTTCATAGTCATCAGCCTCATAGTCCCAGTCTCGATATGCAATCGCATGTAGAAGTGTATTTCCATCATTATCAACTTCCCGCAGACCATGCCACTCAGCCATTTTCGCACAGTCCTCTTGATTAGCGTAACGTTCCGGCATGTCATTGCACCACGATCCATGCCAACTCTTCGGTGCCTTGACGAAGCTGAAAAGGGCCGTCTCTCCTTTCTCATTTCGTGCCGCTGGGTCACAGCCTGCGTTTAATAATCTGTTATATAGATTCCAGGCAGGTGTGAAATGATCTGCGCCATTTTCTGTCTCGAGCTGGTACTTGCGGTCGATGTTGCTGTAGTCCATCACTAATACTGCAACGTAATGGAGTGCCGTCTTGCCCTTGTGGAATACCTCTAGTGGATTTGCACCTGCATCGAGGAGAGCAGTTACTATATCGTGGTATGTAGCAGTGGGATTATCCACGTTTCCGGAACCGCAATCAAGTTCCGCGATGTAGCTTTCGTCTGCATATTTCTTGAGTGCCGATCGTAGTGGTGTGAAGCTTTCATGGTTGCAGTGTGTTGTCTCAGCGCCATGCTCTAGAAGGGCTTGCACAGCTGAAAGGTACCCTGTGCGAACGGCGTGATGGAGTGCTAATGATCCAGACTTATCGATGGCGTTTACATCAACATCGAGGTTGGTAAGTGCTAGCACGACTTTACCCTCGTCCCTTTCCGGACATTTCATACATGCTTTCAATAAAGGGGTGCAGCCTTTTCCGTCTCGAGCATTGAGATCCAGTCCCGTAGAAACAAAACGTTGTATACAGTAGTTTGCGCGGCAAATATCATGGAACGCGGTCGATTCATTGTTGTACATTGGATGGAGTGGATTGGCACCGTATCGAAGAAGAATCGACAGAGCTGCTTCGCTTGCCTTCGGGTTAGCCGCACTGACTAGAGGGTTGTGACTGTCTGTCCCATTCGGGTCAGCGCCAGACTCCAAAAAGAGCTCCAGGACATCATCGCGCTTGCTGGAGATTGCGGCGACGATTGGTGGCCCGGATTCAGAGCCTGCGGACAAGGAACCTCCTTTTTGAATGATAAGCTCTATGATCTCAACAGACCGGTTAACGTTAATAGCAATGTTGAGTGGAGAGTTTCCGTGTAGTTGAATATTAGCGTTAGGATCAGCACCATGCTCGAGAAGGATCCTAGCTGTGTCGTCGCGCCAATGCCAAGTGTGCCTAGCAAGTAGTGCAGAATGAAGAGGTCTATCGTGTGTAAATCTGTCCTCTGGTCCATTCGGAGTCGCCCCGGCACGAAGAAGGATGGAGAGACCATGTGGGTGCCACCAACGCGATCCGTGGGCCAATTTGATCAATGAATTTGTGAATGCCTCTTTATCTAAGACATCTGGGATAAAACTGGCTAAGTACTCAATCATGGATATGTTGCATAGGTCTCGATCCGTGGCATGCTTCAGAAGGGAAGGAAGAAGGCTGGGCATATCCTCAACGTGTGGAAGCACCTGGGTCATGACAGAGGTCCAGCCCCACCGTGCAACCAAATGAAGTGCCGAGTCGCCCTTCTCTTCGACCACTTTCACTTGTTTAGACGTGAGGACCTTTCCGATCAGCTGCTCGTTTCCAGTTGAGAATACTCTTTCGAGAAACTTGACATGGTTTTCCGGGAGCGAAACATTGTCCATTACCATCATTGGAACAGATTCAGTCAGAGCCATCAGTAGCTCTGCTGGTTTATCAAAGGCAGTGGGGCTCTCAGCTGAGGTGGAATTTCTCAGTTCGTCGACAATATCAGCACAACCCAACATTGTTGCCACGTCTATGGGCCAATGCCCATTTTCATCAGCAATGGTTGGATCTGCACCAGCTGCCAGAAGAAGCTGCACCACCTGACGAACGGATCTATTAGATCTCTCATTTGCGACCACGCTGCTTCCTCGCTCTATAATGTCCTGCCAAGCCAGTTGCCCATATCTTGCCGGGGACTCTCTCATGCGTGAGGGGGCAGCATCGTACATGCGTTGAGCCTTTTGAGCCTCTTGAGCCTCTTGCGCATAGTGCAATTCTGCAGCTGCATGCAAAGGTGTTCGATTTCGTTCGTCTCTGATTCCCACATTTGCCCCTGCCTGGGTTAATAGACGGACACATTCGGGCTCGCCAGATCGAGAAGCATAATGCAGAGCCGATCGCCCTTTCAAGGTCAAGCCATCGATGTTGATTGAATTCTCGACGTAAAGCTCGACCAAAAGGCCAAGGGCGTTACTTTGGCCTGCCTCCGCTGCAAAATGTAGAGGAGTATGCCCTTCGGAATCGCGGGCATCCATTTTAGCCCCAGCCTTGATCAATGTAGTTGTATTCATGTCAGATATAGCAGCTGCCAAATGAAGCGGAGTGATTCCTGTCCGATCCATGGCATTCACATCGCATGGGATTGAAGGTTGAAGCAGAAATTCCACTCGCGTCAATATGTCAGCAATTTTATACCCGTGACTGTCCTCCTCCCAGCCGCAGTCTTCAATGGCGACTGCCAGGTGTAGGGCCGTTCGACCTTGGTTGTTTCTCGTCTGCACGGGGCACCCCAAATCTAACAAGTTCTTACATCGAATTTCTAGCGTCTCCCACTCCGCAGCATGCAGCATGAGTTCGTGAATTATCGAGTTGCCGTCTTTGTCAAGAGCGTGAGGGCTAGCTCCAGCCTGGACGAGAATATTTGATATCTTAGTACAGCCATCGCCCCACTTCGTTCCACCATCTTTGTGTTTAGCAACCCAATGCAAGCCTTTGGGTTTTCAGTTAGCGCTGCGCACAATATCACTACAAACATGGCATCTAATCAACTTACCGGATTTTCCTTCGTTGTCCGCTTCATGGGGATCTAAGCCAAGCTCCAAAAACCTTTGGAACATATGGTCGCAGTAGTCCCAAATATGTTCCCATTTCGAGAGTACTGTCAGTAGCGCATTCTTCCCTGTGAAGTCTCGCGTATGGATAGACATCCCATACTGTGTCATTAGATTGAAGAGTGGTACAGGGCTATTCCATGAGTTATAGTAATGGAGAAATTGGAGAAACGGAGTTCTGCCAAAGGAATTTTGAAGATTCACATCTGAGGACCTAATCCAGTCCTCCACAACTGGAAGCTTCCATCTGCTAGAATCCTTGAGAAAATAAGACAAAGCCGTATTCCCCACTAGATCTTGCTGGTTAAAGTCGGCATTAAGCGCTTTGAACATGATCGGATCCGTATCATCCAGACAAGCCGCTACCATCAATGGTGTTGCGCCATCTGTACGTCGTGGGGCGTTTATATCCATACCAGAGTCAGTAAGGATCCGAAGAACTTCAAAGGCCACCAAGTCCCTTTTTGCATGAAGTGGGGATGCACCAGTATTATCTAATGTCGATACATCGGCTCCATTTCTGAGAAGCGTTCGCACGGATATCCAGGGATCTGTTGCTTTGGCGTCATAAAAGTGAGGCCAGAAAAACAGAGCAGATCGCCCCAGGTGATCAGTTGCATTTATATCACAGCCTGCGGCGAGAAAAACATCTAGAACGTCATTCCCGATGCGATATTTCTTCTTGGTTTCCTTCCTATTCACTTCATATGAATCGAATGTGGAAGTGAGGAGATGGCTAGGCCCTATAGCCCACCCGTGCAAAGGTGTGTAGCTTGGCGGAATTTTGGACTTGGACAGACCAAGCGAAGAAGAACGTGGCTCGGGATAAGTGTTCAAGTTCATTGAGAGTACATTGGCATCCGCACCATGGTTTAGTAGGCACTTGACAGTATCAGATCGGCGCTTTTTAGACGCAGTATAGAGAGCAGTGTTACCATCAGAATCCCGATGATTGATCTCATCTCGAACATCTGGACTCTGTAACAAAGCTTCTACTGCCTTCAATTGTCCCCCTAGAACGGCGGTGTGGAGGCCTTGTAAAAGATGAGATTTTTGGCAGTAGCTCATTAATAAGACCAGAGTCTCGATATGCCCCAACCTGCATGCAATCAGGAAGGGGGTTTCTTGGATTTTCGGTGCTTCGTACGATTCACCATAGTATCTGTATTTACCCCCAGAAGAGTCTTTCTTCTTATTGGTTGTTAAGTCCGCTCCAAAAGCAATGAGACTCTGCAATACCTTGACATTGTTGTATTCTGTCGCAACATGTACAGGCATTCCATCATTAGATCCGATATCATGGCGCGCCTGGTGCTGAAGCAGCAACCTAACCATATCATCGTGGCCCCTCTGTATCGCGTACAAAAGCGGTGTTAAATTGAAGGTATCGCAAATGTCGGGGCTTGTTCCATTTTGCAGAAAATGGCAAGCGAGGCGCTTCATTCCGTAGTGTGTCGCAATAAATAGAGGGGGGATGAGTTCTTTATCTTTGCGGTATGGCCTTTCGTATGAGCATTCGCAGTCGTAACGCCACAACCTCTCCCAAAACTCGAAAGTGGGGTTTTCAGGCTGAAAAAATTCAATTATGGCGTTGAACAAGTTGTCATCAGACTCAGGCGCATTAGCGGCATGGAAGAGCCACTCGCTGACAGAATACTGAAGAAAGTAACTCTCCAAGTATATCTCTGCTCTTTTCTCGGTTTTCACTCTCCCATACTCAAGGTCTGTAAGAGGTATACGTTCTTTCGGCGTAGCATTCTTCAAATACTGAAGACATGTCCGCGCAATCATTGCATGTACAGAGGGGGAGTCAAGGGCCGCAAAATCCCGCTTCTGGTGACTCATTTGTGTGTGGGCGACATCGCGATTAAGGGCAAATTCTGTGAGGGAATGGTGTATAATTTGAACAACCCCATCGTCACAATCTTCTAGTAAAGGTCCACATGTTGTGCGGATACCCATTTTAGCAGCTATGCTGGGGTCCAGACCACCGCGATTGGGCAGAGAATCAACCATAACGGCAAGTTCAAGAAGTCGCATAGGGCGTGAGGAGTGTATGACCCATTCGAGAATAAGCCGTTGGAAGTCTGAACTCGTTCCTGACCGGGATGCATGTTCATGTAATATATCACTGTACATATCTCCTAGTCCGTCTGGAAGAGCATCAATCTGAGATGAAATATCATCTGGGTGGAGAAGCAACTTGTCGAACATGAGCCTAGCATAGAGGAAAAGTCCTTTGCCACGGTCGCAAATGGCTTTTTTAAGTACCTCCGCCGTCTCTAGAGGAATGCCCAGCTGTGAGTCCTCTAATCTCTGTGTGAGATAGACTGCAATATCTCTATCAACGTTCCGCCGATCAAGGCGCAGATCAACAAGGCAAGCACCATTCATATGTCGCTCGACGTGGGGAACTTGGCGACTAGTAAGAAGGACTTTAACTGTATCTGGGGTTTTGCGATTGAGAAAATCATCAAGAAACTGGTCAGACTCCTTTCCTCGCTTCATCTCATCCAACGCATCGACGACACAGAAAACCGGCTGCTTAATCGATCCCAAGCAGGTGATGAAACTCTTCCAAAGATTCTCGAATGGGACAGAGGCTACCGTGTAGTGTTTTTGCATAAGCTTCTTTAGGGATGCCACAAGAGGAGGCGAATAATCGACAAGCTCATGGCAGAAGTCTTGTATCAAAGAACGAGGACTGCGATTTGTTTGTATGATTTCCCTGAAAAAGAAAAACAGCACGATCCCATCACCCCGTCGTCGTAGCCGACTGATCAAACTCGCTGCGACCACAGACTTTCCACAGCCTGGGATTCCTCGAATCCAGATATTTCTCACTGCGGCAATCTGGCTCCATTGCTTATACTGAGGCGTTTCCAAAATCCACTCCCCCGTACCTCGAGCATGCGAATTCAGGTGTTTCCTATACTCACTTGCCGGGCTGTCTGAATCAGTTTTCTCAAGCCACGTTTTCAGCTCTTGAACAGTTTCTTTGCATTCTTCTTCGTCCATTTGCAAGTCTTGTGTGAATCTTATGTCAGCTTTTGCTTTTCCAGTTTCAGGTTGATGGGGAGGGATAGAAAAAGAATTTTACCTGATTTTTGCACGACAACATAGTCGGATACATCGCGATTCTCATCGGCCGCCATCTTCGAGCAGCAATGTTGCAAGCACTGGATCCCCTGAAAAACGTACAGCTTTAGACCAGCCGTGGGTGGATATAGGAGGAAAGATTTAACGAAGGAGTCATTTCAAAGCTGTTTTTGAAACACCCACCCCGCTCAAAAAGACAAATGTTAACAGGATTAGTCAAACTGGGGCCAGAGCCCCATGAGGGGGAGAGGGGGCCAGACAGGGTGAACACAGCTTTGCTGATTAGCAGCCGCATTGTGGGGCTATTGAGCCGCTAGCATCATAAACATCGTCGGGGTGTGGGTTTTCGATGGGTCAGAATCCAGAAGGATTATCCATTCTATCACGGAGATCATGAACAGTATTGGGATTAGTTTTTGCAGCATACGATAGCTGAAGAGATGGGTCTTTCGTGGGTATAGGGTTTGTCATGGTACGATAAAGTACAGAATACTTCGATACAAACAGCAAACGATCGTGGCTTGCAATTGAGTCTTTAGTATGGACCTCAAAATACCCCGTGAGTAATGTAAATCAACCGTCTAGTACCTGTATCGTGGATCTGAACATTGAAGTGGAGTGGGCATATCTCCGACCGCTTCGAAGGTTTTACCGACACCAAGAGATTCCATGTTTTCCGTTGATATATTCCAGCAGTGCCAAACATGTCAATCGTTCAAAGAGAGTCATAGTACATAGTCGAACCATCTTATCGTTTCGGTTTCGTCCGATACTATTAGTACTAGTAATATAGCTGGATGAACATGTGCCCTGTTTATGGAGAGGGGGGATAAATCCAGGGACCTCCTCCATGATCAGACTTAAGTGTGGAATTATCAATCCAGATTTCACCACAAATAGAAACCCCAGAAATATGAGTACTTAATATATAACGTCACAGTCCATAAAATAAAGCAAGGTTCAAAGATAATGTGCCTTCCGTCCATGGTAACGAAGCTGGTGTCCACAGCCTCAAACCACCAAGAGAGACACGGTCCATAAGATTGATTGGCAGATTCCAGACACAACGTTTCCCCACAAGGTCGTCCCATGCCGAGCCTTGCTCATTGCCTTCATGGGGTATGGGCCCCGAAATCGAGCGGATTAAAAATCCCAACTAGTGGAATATCCTGTAGTACCTTCTTCATCCGCGTATTCTTCAGTGCTAGAGTCGTATCCGTGAGCGAGCTCATCCAAGACTTCATATGCCTCAGTCTCCGCGATGTCGTCGTCAGCGTCGGTTGAGACTGAATCGAGAGGTTTGATCCCCTGGACATGCACCCTCAATTTGTGCTTGCTCGCTTCGAGTAAAATCCACTTTGGCAAATTTCGACGATTAACTGTCAGAACCAGTTTGATCTCTTTTTGTGGTTCTGTGCGAACAGGCACTCGCTTGTCAGTGTCGCCCATGAGAGTGTAAGTACCCTTTTCGTATTCTCCATGCATTATCACAGCAGCCATCGGATCTTCAACTTATCACAAACGCCTGTGTTGATTAATTTGGAGTAAGAAAGAGAACACACACGAAAAAAGCAAAATACAAAATAAAAAATAACAGCATTTTATAGGGTGGATAACAACTCTGCGAAAAATCGCGATGCTTATCAATAGGAGAGCCCCTTACCTGGTGGCAGATTGCCCAAGCACTCAATCTCACCCGAGAGACCTGATCAGATATCAGGCGGTACATCTGAGACACCCTCGCTAGATTGGTCTTTAGTGAAAGTCACTCAATCCCTCTTGAGACCGAGAATAAGGGTGACGCTAGATTGCACGCGATCATCGCTGCTTTGGGAGATGGCAGGCTCTCAATCCAATTCTGGATTTCTTTTCAAGACCCATTGCCTAGTCCGCGATCACTTCTGATGCCACTCCATCATACACATCGGGGCTCTATGCAAGTTCGGGGCCTTAATCTCCCGTGCTGGTCACGATGCCTTCCATCCCGTTCAGATCATCATATATGGAGTGTTTCATCGACCGGGAGGAATCTCCCGGGTCCCCCGTCAGGAGAAGTGGAACGGCAACGGGTAGGCACGAAACCTACACTCTTCCGGAAGATCAGCAGGAAAGGATCTGTATTGAAAGTGCAGGAAAGGCCAGAAGCTCGTTGGTAGACGGAGCTTGGTACGCGGGTTTCACCTCATTCCAGTATCAGCAGACCAGCATTGGATAGAATACTCAAAACGCACTATTGGATACGATCCATGGAACCAAAGGCTAGCCAATCTCTATGCACGCAAACGATCTGCACTCCGAATTGGACCCCATGGATTACTGTGGATTGAGACCTTGTCCGGCCCACGCAAGTCCGGAATGAGCTTAGCCGGTGTGGGGTTTACGTATCATCTCTTGTTACCCCTACACGGACACTGTCACCCTTCACCAAGTAAGAAGCCCCTTTCAATATGTGATAGCATCTTGCGGTTTCACAAGCACCAGCCAAGACACCGGCAATCCTGCGCGTCCTTGGGAATATCGGGAGTCTCTATATTCTATGATTGCGCTGGGTTTTGAAACCGTTGGCTATGATATCGTCGGGGATCGCATCAGAGATGGCGACTACTTTGATAAAGATTGCTTCTGCTGTTTCTTTACGATAAACCTTGAAAAAGAACCTTGCTCAGGGTCTAGACAATTGGAACTTACGAAGGAGCGCCTTTGGATTAATACCATCTACGGATCAACCTCCTTACCAGACGATTGGACGGACACATTCATGACTACACAATTCTCGTTCATTGCTATCGAAGATTGGCGTTGACCAATGTGTGTTACGGATATGCCAAAGTAGGCGATCGAGCTTACTGATTAGTATATAACTAATACTTGTGAACTTAACTCTAGTGGCTATTACAATATTAGGCGTACCGTTGACAGGATATACTTTTACTGCAACATCAGCTACGACTCTTATATAGGTTTATACCATATCTTTAAGACTAGAATAGACTATATACAATAGCTTAATAGTCTTTGCAAGAATATACAGGACTAGTATAGTCTACTAGATAATTAGTATTAATTAGCTGCGCTTATTCCTTTTAATATGATTCCTTAGGGATAGACTATTAGACCCTTTTATTACAGACCAACCAGGGCTAAGTCCAACTTTAGACTAACAAGAGCTAATTAGTTCTATATTTAATATAGAGCTATAAAGTTATATATAGGATCCGGTATTTAAGGATCCCTAAGTACTAAGATTAGAAAATACTTTAGAAAAGGAGCTATAAATAGTCTTCTACTAATTACTATAATCTATATTTATTATATATATAGAATATTATAGAGACTATTAGGAATAACCTTCTTAGTATAAATAATAATTATTCCTTTAGATAATTATATATTCCCTAGTTATATAATTACTTACTCCTAATCTACTTTAGGAGTATATAAAGAGTTATAGTAACTCTAGGATCTATCTTTTAAGAGTTACTATAGAAATATATAGAGAATTAGAATATATAAAAAATAGTTATTACTATTATATATTTAATTCTTTATATTTAATTTTATTATTATACTTAGATTATTACTATCTATAATATAGTTTATAACTATTTAATTAATACTTCTTTAGTACTTAGTACCTTATCTAATATGGCTAACGATTCTCCTAATTGATATATAGCTATTCGGATCTAGGAGTTTATCTATGATTATATTGTTGTTATTTGCGGAAATAGGTCTTCAGTCTCTATTATTGTATTATATAATCATAACTATTAATTATAGTAGAGAATATAACTTATATCTTAGAGATAGGACTATAGGGGTACTAGTAAAAATAATATATATAGGAGTACTTATTTAGCTTATTATTATTAGTATAGTATATAACGGTTACTAAGTTGTCAGGCTAGAGACCTATGACTAGGTAAGGATATCGGATACTAGAGATCAAATAGAATAGTTAATATATAGAACTGATTCTTGCAGGACAAAAATTGTAGCTATTGTTTGTGCGTTTTAATATTGCTAGAGCTTGCTAGGGCTTAGGGTAGTTATATATTAGCGGGTGTATCGAGGTAGATTCGTCCGCGGAGCGGCTATGAATCGTACCCGAATTGTACCTGAAGGGATTCAGGAATCCCGTGACATAGTACTTATTTAATTGATATAGACCGCTTATAAGATAAAGTGGTTGATTGGATTGGGTAGTCTAGACCACCCTTACTAGTAGGGGTATGAGCAGATAATATTAGAAATTGTTATATAATGGCTGTCTTAGATGGATGGTAGATAAAGTTAAAGAAAAATCTATCCTATTGTTGGATGTATAAAAGTCTGAGCTCCGAAGAAATACTATTTGTAAGAAGATAAAATGGAGGCTGTACTTTAAATAGTATAGTGTATAGTATCTTCTCTAATTAAGGATATAACTACTAGCTTTTCTAGGGGGTATTTTTAGAATTTTATATAATTATGATCTTAAGTATATTTTTTCTTTGGATTGTTTAATAGCTGTTCTAGGGAGGATTTATTTTTCTTACTTCGGATAAGTAAGTATATATTGAAGTGTATAATTATGCTCTTAACTAATCGGAGTTAGGTTTTATCTCTTTAAGCTTGTGACCCTTATAGCTATTTGGGTTACTTTCTTGTTTCTTAGTATTATTGTTATGCTATAATAATAGCTTTCTATCTATGAGATTTGTGGTTTATTGATAATATTGAAGCTATAGTAGCGGTTATTGTGCTTGTTCCGCGGCTCTTAAAATTCTATTAAATATATAGGTTTAGATTTATTTACTATAAATTATCCTAGTTATCTCTCTTGATATCTAGCTTTTTTATGGGTCTCTTTAGTGATGTTTTTCTGATGAGTATCTTAATTAATTTCGATGGGCTTTTCTTGGATGAGGTTCTTTTGGTAATATTAGTAGGATATGTGTGGGCCTGATCAGGGTTGGAAGATCTATTAGCCCCTGAATTCTTTATCTATGTTTAACTTATATGACAAAAATCCTATAGTCTTTATTTGGAGTCTGTTTGTTACCACCTCAGCTTTATGGATAGAAGTTAGTGAAAAGTGGCTTAGATGTTGAGTAATAAGGGGAGCTGATAGTGTTAATTGTTTGTGTTACGCCTGATTGTCCTAGAGTGGCTCATTTTCTTTAAAATGATATTAAATAAATCCTTCCCTGCTAGTTTCGGGTATGTATTGTCTTGTTGAACATATAACAATATAACTGGGTATTTTAAAATATCCTATTTTAGTAATAGTATGAACTGTGTCAGAAATCAGTATTTGTATTCTATATTAAAGTTGTAAACTAGTGCTTAAGTACCTATAGCTGATTATTAGGCTGATTATTTAAAGGTTATTATAAAATGTATTCTATAGGGGTATTCATAGATTTATTGTCTATATATCTGATCTATTTATATGAAAATAGAGTAAATATTTAAGGTGGAGTATATATTAATTAATATAGCTGTTAGACTAGGTGTGTTGGATGTTCTATGTTTAATATATAAGAGTACCTTAAAAAAGAGCTTGTGGGTCTGTTGTTTGTCGCTAAATATTGCTGATCCTGTGGGTTGGCACTAAAATCAAAGTAAAGTAGCCCTTCTAAAAGCCCTTTATTTTAAATTAAAAACTTAAGCGGTAAGGGAATCAATTTGTAGTATCTTGTCTTCTGGGTTAGTAATAGGATATCTGATCTTAAAAATAAATAAAAAAAGTGAATAGCTACACGTAGCTGGCTGGTCTGTTACTTATAGTGATCTTATTAACGAATAGGATATTATTAAAGGTATTGCTTCTATCTATCTCGGCGCTACTGGTGCCTGGTTTATGGAATAGCTTTGAGCCTAGTTATAGAGATTCGAATAGAGCCTTAGTGATATCTCTAGTAATACTATTAACTAGGTAAGAGACTATATTAAAGATCTATTATAAAATAAAAAGCTTAGTGAAAGAAAATTTGACGATTTTGAGGTTAGAGTTGATTATTTTATGTATAAGTGTCGTCTCGGAGCTTTTGGAGGATGGATAAAGTTATTAAATAATTATTAGTCTTAAAGTGAGAATTTATATCTAGGTTGAGAGGTTTTCTATATATTTATCTAGTTTAGATGGATTATAAATGATTTCGAGTCTTGAAATTCAAGTTATAATAAAGATAAGCCTAAAATAGATAGTATATATTAGTACTAAAGGTAAGTTTACTATAGTAATCGGATAAATTGATAATGAGATTCCTATAAACTAATAGGTATGAGTTTTATTAAAGACCTTGAGAAACTATTGCTAATATAAGATTACTGTGTACTATTAGTCTTCTCTAGAATATATTCTTCTATAATCCATTCCTGTCTACTACTGGTAGATATAGAAGGTTATCTGCTTTTCTTCGTTGGGAGATAGCTGATAGTAGGACTCGATGGATTCTGAGCTATTTTGTCTGTTGCTAAACTGTATAGCTTGTGTAACTGTGGAAGACGAATGA